CCGCCACACAGCTCACTGTTGGCCGCAGCACAGCCGGAGCAGACAGGAAGTGTGAGGCCTCTTTTAATAAAACAATAAATAAATGTGTACCGTATTCTTCTTCATGGAAAAATAAGATATCCCCTGAAAATAAGACCTAGCAGCGCATCTTTGGGAGCAAAAAATACTATAAGACACTGTCTTAGTTTTGGGGAAACAGGGTAGGAGGAATGCAAGGAACATTCTTTGCTCGGTGAGAGCACTTGGACGAGTAGTTCCTAGAATGGAAGTGGTGGACTCACAGAACTGAAACGTTGGACCGTGGGACTCTAGCTTGTCAGTGACTCACTTTCTCTCCCTACGGGCTGTGAGGACACACAGGTCCAGCAGGGCCCAGGCCGAGACCATGTCCTGACTATCCTCTGCAAGCACTTGAGCTCCGGCCCTCAACCCCCACCAGCACTCGGACAAATCCTGTTCTTCACTGCCATCACTCAACTAGTTGCATGTGAGTCTACTGCAGCTCACGGAGACCCCGCGTCTGTCGGCACAGAACCGTGTCCCATGAGGTTAGTCAGTCGCTGATTTGCTGGAGAGGGTCTTTTTCCCCAAGGCATCTCTGAAAACTCAAATCTCCCACTCTTGGTTAGTGCCTGATGGTGGGAGCCATTTACACCACCCGGCCCCCCTTTACTAGGATTCCGCATTACCACTTGGCTGAAGGCAACTAACGTGTGTTGGGGCCATCTAGTTCCCCGTCAGGGTAGACCTCCAACACTGGGGCTCCAACCATCGTTTCGAACCATGCTGCGTCCTCCTCGATTAAGAAACAGAGCACACGGGGATTTGTGGGTTTTTTTTAAGCTAATAGCTCCCGTGAGAAAACGCTGCTTCTACCCGTTTGGAAATGTTGCCATCAACAATATCGTGAATAAATACACGATCATTGTCATGCACTTGGATTGGGACATGCTTTCTTAAGAGGGTGCCAGGTGTGCGTGTGGGCTTTCAGAATCACCCTTTTACCTTCACGGAGTGCCTAGAATCTGTGGCAGGGTTTACAAGGTCAGAGTGGGTTACGATGCCCCAGGTAACTTCATTTTGGGGGGTAGGCCAGAGATAACGTTCTGAGCCAGAAGGCAGGCAAGGCAGTTATGCAATGATTTGGGGCACAAACACCAAGGCGGTCCTAGCTCAAGAACTATTTGGTGTTAGGGCCCAGGGACTAGAGAGAGGAGCAGGAAAGACAGAGCCCTACCTTCATGAGCCTCAAGCGCCCCTCTGGGTCAAGGATTCAGCCGGAGGGCTCTGAGGACAGTCAGTGCAGTTGAACTTGTGGCTCTGGTTTATTGCAGCAAAATCAGGCAAGGGGAAAAGCCCAGGGATGAGATCCAGGGGAAACCAGGCTCCTGAGAGTCCCCTCCTCCTGGGATCCCCCAGGATGCGCTTCATCTCTCCGGCAAGGCACGGCGATAACCCGAGTGAAGTGCTGTCTCTGAGGAAGCCTCATTAGAGACGCCAAACCCAGGGACTACACTGGGGGCTGGGCACACGGGCACCCTCGGCCTAGCACGTTCCAAATCCCAGACTCCCCGAAGGGAAGCCGGTGCGTGGCATGACCTGCATTGTTGGCACGGCAAGGGCAGGCCCCGTCAGCCATTTCTATCAGGGAATGGTGCAAACCTCCCTGGTTCCAATTCCCACGCTTCACGAGTTACACCCACTAGACTTTTTGGAGAAGAGCAGAGCTCTTCTTAAATTAACTTAATTATTCTTAAATAAAAAAAAATTCTTAGGAATAAAAAACCCCAAATGCTTCCATTTCAAAAATGCATATAAACTTGAGTGATTAGCAAGGATCATTTCTGGACCCTTGTTTGGATTCTGAATTCAGCTCTTGGGAGTGGGAAATTCTGGACCCTCACCGGCCCCACACAACTTCCTGAGAGCTGAGATGAGGTCGCTCCCCTTATCCTGCATTGTGGGTGGACGCACCCATTTGTCCATGCTCTGCCCAACAGTGGACACGGACCTTTTAAATCACGGGCCATTTACTTGGGAGGAATCATATCTTCATTCACCCTTCAGTGAATGAAGTGGGGGGGTGGGGCAGGGATAATTTTAACATTTTTCTTCCCTTCTCCCTTCCTAGACAAGAATGCTCAGGTCTTTCTTCAGACCCCGCTTTTCAAAGTACCCCACCCCAGGAACAAACCAACCCTGCTGACAATCCAACCTCGCTGCCACGGACAACCCTACGGAACAGGGAGGCGCACCCGGGGGATTTCCAAGGGCCGTCGTCCTCACAAAAGCAAGCAGGTCATGAAAAAGCTAGGAAAAGGGAACCGATCACAGGATCTACATATAACCCCCTCCCTGGGGGACGGACAACAGAAAAGTGGATGAAGGGAGACATCGGACAGTGTAAGACATGAAAAAGCACTAATTTATAAATGATCAAGGGTTCATGAGGGAGGGAGGACAGGGGAGGGAGGGGAAAAAATGAGGAGCTGTTACCAAGGGCTCAAGTAGAAAGGAAATGGTTTGAGAATGATGAGGGCAACAAATGCACTTGACACAATGGATGGATGGATGGATGGATGGATGGATGGATGGATGGATGGATGGATGGTGATAAGAGTTGGAGAAGCCCCCAATAAAATGATTTTTTAAAAAGGAAAGGAAGACGAGAGCCAAGTGGATGTTAGAAGAGACTATGGCGTGTGCGCTTCGAGAGCGCAGCAGCTAAAGCAAACGGAAGACGTGATGACGTCAAGATGGGCCCGAGCACGGGGACAATCGGGAGGCTGGTGCAGGACCGGGCGGAGTTCCCTTCTGTTGTGCGTGCTTATGGCCGCTAGGGGCCGGTCCCGACTCAGTGGCCCCTGACAGCAGCAACGTGGACCACGACAAAGCAAACTGCCAAGCCGCTCTCACAGGACCGCTTGGGGGTGAACTGCCAGTCGTGTCACCCGCAGTTGAATTTTTGTAACCAGCAGGGCTTTTCATAAACAAGAAAGGAATTTTTAAAAACTGCTTGCAGATGTCACTTGCTCCCAGCACCTCAACGGGCTGTCCCTTTCGCTTTGCACCAATTACACCTCGAAACGGGCGGTTATGGCTAGGCAAGGAATTTTGTTTAAAAGCTCCCCCAGATGAAAGAAAGCCTCTGGGAAATTAAAAGGCCATTGTTTGCAGTCACCCAGCTTAACATGAGAAACTCCATTTTGTTTCAAACTGCCTTTAACCCCTGCTAGCACTTAGCCCCCCTTCTGCTCCTCCCTCTCCCGGCAATCCAAGCAAGACCTTGACTCTTCTGAGACGTCTCCAAACCCTGCCTGCCCAATTAGCAAGAAATGGTCACTATCAAAAAAAATAAATAAAAGAAAAAGCAATGGTCACTATCTTCAAAGACTGCGGTTCTCAACCTTCCTAATGCAGCGACCCTTTAATACAGCTCCTCATGTGGTGGTGACCCCCCCAACCATACAATTATTTTCGTTGCTACTTCACTGTAAGTTGGCTACTGTTATGCGTCGTCATGTAAATATCTGAAATGCAGTATGTATTAGGCGACTCCTGTGAAAGGGTTGTTCGACCCCCAAAGGAGTCGCGACCCAGAGGTTGAAAACTGCTGTTGTAAGACCTTGAGTTAGTACCTGCAGCTGTGCTAGTCCCCCCCAGTCCCGCTACCTGCCAACCTGATAAAAATGTAGCTGCTAGAATAGCCCTCCTCTTGAGCCAGCCACTACTTTGAACTAGAAAAATTCTGGAATTTGTTTGTTCTGGATCAAGAAGGTTCCAGGCGCTAGCCTACTCTCGATCCAGTGGTTTAATAAAGGCTTCAATGATTAATATAGTGGCACGGTTGATCTCGCCTGTTTACAACACCATGTCTTAGCCCTCCAGTGCTCTTATCACAAAAAACACCACAGAGTGTGGGCTTTCAGGAACAGAAATGTCTTCTCTCACAGCTGAAGAGCCTGGAAGTCTGAAGCCGGCCCCAAGTTCTAGGCAGTTCCCAGTGTGGGGAGGGACTCCAGTCCAAAGACAGCGCTTAGCTCTTATTTTCAGTGGTAAGTGGATCCCTGTCGCTCTTATTCTCCTTTTCTCTCGGAGGAGAAAAGAGGATGCAGGCCACGCCCCCAGGGACACGCCCCTTCTATTGGAGCAGGGCTGTAACCCAAGTAAGGGTATTGCACGCTGTTTTAATCCCTTACATGGGATTAGAGCTGACCACGTCAGATTACATCCTGGGAGATCAACACCTTACCACATTATATAACCACCAATCTGACGAGAGGCTGGCCAAGCTAAAATGACATCTATTTTCAGGGAGGGCATACGGTGCGATCCAAGACAGCTTGCTACCTCACTCAGACCCACGCTCCCAGTTGAAACTCGCATTGACCGGTGGCACGGAGCGCAGACAGGTAATGACGAGTCTGGGGAGGAAAGAGGCTGATGCAACCGTGCTGAGCTGTCCAAGCCTTGCACTTTCCAAGACAAGGCTGGGCCCTTGAACAATGGCTGTCAGAACTTGGAAAATACAGCCTGATCAGTGTCTGTTGACCTGACCAGAGGCCAGGCTCCCGGGGTGACCACGGTGGAGGCTCGATGCTCTGGCCTCTGGAAGGGCTGGAGACTTGAGTTAGGTTGGTTATGCAGTCTACGGGACTGACCTCGAATAAAGACCCTGGGCCTCGAGGCTCAGGGGAGCCTCCCTGCACCTTGTCACATATCATCGCCAAGGCTGTCACAACAGCCACAGGTGTGATTCTGCATGGTCAGAAAGACTCCACAGCGAGAGTCCACTGGGAGCTTACACTCATTTCCTCCTGGACTCTGTCCTAGCTGGCTTCTCCCCTGGCCGATGCTAACCTGTCTCCTTTCCTTGTAACAAGCCACTCACTCATGACCTTGAGGACAACAGCTCGGCTGAGTGCTGTGAGTCTGTATCACGCATCACTGGAACGGAGGGTGGCCTGGGGAGCCCCTGGCAACAGCCACACGGACCTGGGTTCAAATCCTCACTTCTCAAAGGGGATCGTGCCCCCACCTCACACTGCTATTGTGTGATAAGTGGACTGGGTGATGTAACACACTCACACAACACACTGCTGTCTCCTCTTCTTTTCAGGAAGCAAGGAAGCTACGTTCACTCTGGTATTCCCGGAGGGAAACAGAAAACTCCACTCACCTGACAGCTGGTCGGCTCCGCTGCTTCCGGGGAAGGGGCTGCGGCTGGAGAACGAATGGCTGCAGAAGAGAAAGAGGCCATGAGGAAGTGGAGGTGCCCGCTTGGAGCTCTTGGCTCATCTACCTGAACCCGAGGAAAGTGGGCAGCTTGACAGGGTGGTTTCCTCGCACCTCGAGCAAGGCCTTCTGCACCCAGCTGGCTCCCTCTGCACACCCAGCCTGCCTCCTCGGACCCCACAACCTGCACAGACTCACCCCTCTCCTCGTGTCTCCTGGTCAGTGTCTCCATAGTCTTGTGAGAACAGCAGCGGCCTTGTCTATCCTCTGACCTTCCTGACCTGGAGAAAGCAAAACGACAAAGGGCCTTTTCATTCATGAGGCTCCCCAACCTCTGGCCAGGTATGTCATGCACCTGTCGTCGGAAGTACCCAGCTCTCCCCTTACTCTCCATGGTCTAAATGGTTCCTGTGTGCCGAGACCTGTGGATTCAGGGAACTTCACGTTGTTCAAGTTCTTTCTTCTGGCCTCCAAGCTCTGGGTCTCTGGGAGGGCTCAGAGTCTCTGGCTCCTCCTCCTTCCGTGGGCCTTTAGGAAGCAGATTACTTATGGTCCCAGCGCGGGCAGGACTCACCGGGCAGAGCCAATAAGAACACGGGTGACTGAAGATGATGACACACGTGTCTGTGGGAGGGCCCAGGCACTGACATCTCACAGTGAGCCACAGGGCCCTGCGGGGGTTGGGGGTAGAGGACTCTGTGAGCTTAGGGGAGCTGGGACCTGAGGGGAAGCTTAGAATCCAAACGCTTTGGTGATACACTACTTGGGGGCAAAGAAGAAAAAACCCACAAACCAAACTACATCCCTGTTTTCACAGATTCTGAAACTCAGGATATGATGATGACAAGGCACCAACTGTTACTGAATTCAGAGGTTTGTAACCTGCTTGGTGCCATGATGCCCCTGATACTTAGGCGGTGGGAGGGGAGGGGTATGAGAGGGAGTAGGGGGTCACCCTTCAAATGCAGAGGACATGCAGAATTCTTCCTAGGGCTGGTTAGGTTGGAAAACCACCCACCACAATGTGAAGTGTTCTGAGAAAGCAGCCATTCATTCGCAAAGCCGGCAGCAGAAATCCAGGCCCTGTTGACCTCCCTCATGGCCGGCCGCCGTTGCGTCAAGCGACCTGAGGGCAGGGCAGGACTGTCCCTGTGGGATCCCGAGGCCATCCATCTGCACAGTGGTGGCCAGCATCACCCTTCATCCAGGGGGTTCCAACAGGAGACCTGGCCGTGAGCGGCCCAACACGTAGACCATGAATGTACTGCGCTACCGGGGTTGATACTACAGAACTGCGATCGCCCACGGGCACAGTCTTTCAACATCGGCCAGGAATAATCCCATCGTTCCCTTTTAGCTGTCTATGACAGACGGACTCGCCAAATAAGAACTGTCTCCCAGGAGTGCTGAGCTCCTTTGAGGGGGATAAACCATCTACCAGAGGGCTTCAAAAAAGTGCATGAAAACATTCCATGTTGTGTTTGTTTGTTTATTGTGTTTTTCCATGAACTGTCGGAAGCCCCTTTGTATAAGAAGCCTAAAGGTCAACAACTACTTTATCAAAAGAAAACGAGCAGATAAGGGGGCAGGGAAACTAGGTGACTGGAGAAGAAGCCACCAGAATGTTCCTGCCTTGTGAAGACAGCGGCCAACACCACTGAACCACTGTGTGGAAACTGTGGGCCAGGAAGCTAATCGGCTGTCTTAAACTTTCACCAGAAACACCAGGAGCCACAGCTTAAAAAAAACAAAAAAGAAAAAGAAAAACAACAACAACAAACAGATCAAGCCCACTGGCTTCCTAAACCAGGTGGAGGATGAATGACATGGCACAAGGTGAGCACCAGCCCCTTCCTTAAATAAGTGGGGCCCAGCCATGGTCAAAGGAGCGCTGGTGGTGTGGGCCATAGGCAACGTCTTGGGCGGCCAGTTCCAAGGTCAGCAGTTCGAAACCACCAGCCGCTTCTCAGAAGAGAGATGAGGCTTTCTATCCCAGTGAAGAGTTCCAGACTTGGAAACCCACAGGGGTGGTTCCTTCCTGTCCTCTAGCATCCTTTTCAGTCAGAAATGACTGGATGGCAGGGCGTATGCGTGGTCAAGTGGAAGGTATGGACAAAGCGGAAGACCCTCGGGGAGGTGGATGGACAGAGTGGCTGTAACCACGAGCTCAGACGTAATGATTGTGAGGACGGCGCACGACCAGGCAGCATTCTACTCTGTTACGCTTAGGGTCACTTTGCATCAGACACAACTCAATAGCACCCAATCCAAACCCAATCCAAGTCACCGCCGTCGTCAATCCTGACTCATCGTGACCCCGCAGGACAGGGTAGAACTGCCTCTGTGAGTTCCCAAGTCTGTCCCTGTTCACAGGAGTAGGAAGCCCCGTCTTTGTCCTGAGGAGTGGCTGGCTGGTGGTTTCAAACTTGGGACCCTGTGGATTGAAGCCCAGTGGGTAGCCACTGCTCCACCTGGGTTCCTCCCCTAACAACAACACAGTTCAAATGGAGGGCTGTTTGATTTTATTATTATTATTTTTGAAGGGTGTTATTGTTTTTTTAATCGTAGGGGCTCATACAACTCTTATCACAATCCATACATACATCAATTGTGTAAAGCACATTTGTACATCCATTGCCCTCATCACTCTCAAATATTTGCTCTCCACCTAAGCCCCTGGCTATTAATAATTATTTTAATAGTGAAAAAATGAGGGTCCCTGGTGGCCCAGCGGGTTCAGCACTGGGCTGCTCACGGCCGGGTCAGGGCGCCCAACCCACCAGCTGCTCTGCGGGAGGAAGCTGAGGCCTCCTGGTCCGGTAAAGATTTACCGTTCTGAAAACCTGACGGAGCAATTCTCTGAACTGACTTGATGGCAAAAGGTTCGGATTGTGTGTGTGTGTGTGTGTGTGAACATTTGAAAATGGTCCAGTCGATATCCCTTTGCAGACACACTGGGGTGCCTCTGCTCCCAGGGCTGGCCCCGCATTTCACTCAGCAAGCGTTTGTTTCTCGTGCTGTGGAGGATTGATCATGAAGACTGGCAATACTGTAGGACTGCCAAAAGGACACACCCATTTGCTTTTGGGAAGAAGTAGGGCCACGACTTCCTGCTCCCTAGAAACAAGGATGGCGAGACCCTGGTCTCACGTACTTGGGACACAGTGTCAGCAGAGACCTAGGTCCTGGGAAAGGACATCACGCTTGGTTACCGGGGCAGCAAAAAGAGAGCGAAGACCCCTGCCAAGGGGAACGGACACAGGGCTGCGACAATGGGCTCAACGTAAGAACACTTGTTGAGAATGGTGCCGGCCTGGGTGGCGTCTTGTTGGGTTGTACGTGCCGCTGTGAGCCGGGCCCAATTTGACAGCACCGAACCCCAGGGCTGCCAGAACCAACCAGCCTGTCCGGGAGGAAGCACAGTGGGAAGGCTCCGTGCTGTCGGGAAAGGCCCAGCCCCTGGCGCCGGGTAGCACGCTCAGTAAAGCAGAAGGGCAGGATCAAGGGCAGGCCCTCGAGGGCGCGGACTGACACGGTGGCTGCGGGCATGGGCGCTGTTTCCTTCTGCTGTACATCGGGTGGCCAGGACACGGAACCAACTCGAGGGCGCCCAATGACAGAGTGCCAGGTCAAGGGGCTCTGGTGGCACAGCGGTTAAAGGGCTCCCCCGCTAACCGAAAGGGTACCGTCTGTGATGGTCGGCCCCTCCATGGGAAGACGTTGGGGTTAGGTAGTCTGCTTCTGCAAAGATGACAGGAGGCAAATCGATCGGGCGTTCTGATTCTGTCCCATAAGGTCAGCAAGTTGTTACTGTTCGGGGAGTGGCTGCCCACGGGGGTTTTCTTTCTCTTTGTGTTAATTCTAGTGGACATAGATCCTGGGGCCTTTCGTCCATCATGCCCCTTGTGGGTTCCAACTACCAGCCTTTAGGATGGAGCAGCTGAGTGCTAATAACTAGAGTATAAACATCTAGGAGAGCAACGATGAAACAGGCAACTTTCCTCTAGTTCCTAAATGTGCCCACCACCC